ATATATATATATATATATATATATATATATATATATATATTTATTGTAATGTGATTATCAATGTTGATAGAAAAATAATTAATATTCAAATATAAAACTTGTGTTACATTAAATAGACGATGATGATATACACTTGGTTGAATTAATTATAAACACGTTTATTCAATTGTATTATAAGATTTAAAATCATATACTTGAATTTTTAGAGGGATAACTCCACAAATGAAAAAACTTTATGTTTATTTTTGTTTTTTTGTTATTAATCATGTGATTTAATTGGGAGGGGAGACTCTAGTCAACAAGAAATGAAAAGTAATAAATGAGTTAGTTAATTAATAAAAAAATTTAGTACATAGTTTTAACTTAACTGACTTGTTTTTTATTTTATCCAGTTGAAGGAAATGATTGAGAAGTTGCCATCAGAAATTTTAGATAATGAAAGTTGGAAAACTGTACTTACTCGAGCTGAGGATTTTCTAAAAGAAAATTTAGAATTTGAATCACCTTTGACATCTTCAAGTATGATTCCCCAACAACCAAATGTACCTGATACACTTGACTCAAATAGTAGCTCTTCTAAGCTAGAAGAACAAAAAATAGAAGAAAATCATGAAACTATAGGTGTTGATCCATTATCACAAGATGGAGAAAATGTTCCTCAAGAAAGCAATAACTCATCTTTATCAAACAATGAAACATCAATGCCTTCACAAAACTCTGAAAATGATTCAAGATCTCAAGAGTCTTCAAGATCTAGCAAAGAAGGAGAAACACATGTCATTGAACAATTTGAACCTGGCGTTTATGTGACACTAATAGTAAAGCCTGGTGGTGTCAAAGTGTTTAAACGAGTTAGATTCAGGTACTAAAGTTGCTTATTGATCTAACAAATTCTATATTTTTAATTTCTATTTCAACATGCTATGTGATTGTGTTTGAAATGTTTGTTATAATACAATTTCACAAATATGTTAATATTATATAGCTATGTCAATATATGTATATCCAATTTTGCATGTGCAACATGACTAAAATAATAACTAGATTTATACCCAATAAATAAATAATAAATGCATTACATAATGAACAATCAACTAGGTATTAAATTTCTTTTAAAAACACTAGGTATTAGATTTGCAAGCAAACCATTAATTGTGTGATTTCCATTATAAAAATTAAGAATGATAGAAATTTGTATAAGTTAAATCTTTTGTTTCATTGAGCAATATATTTTTTAATTCTTAGTTGATATTAACATGTGTTCATTAGTTCTTATTCAATTATCATTAATTTTTTTAGTCACAAGTCATTAGCTATTTTTATTTATTTTATCTTAAATTTTTAATGATTTCTTCATATATTTCTTTATGCAGCAAACGAAGGTTTCATGAACATCAAGCAGAAGAATGGTGGAACAAAAACAAAGATATGGTGCTTAGAAAATATAGTATTCAAGCTACAACTTCTGAAGGTACTAGGTCATCTAATAACACTCTACCCCCACCACCACCCACCGAAGAAAATATTGAGGCAACATCTTCCTAAACAAGAATTGTAGTTTTAAATAGGTATTATCTTAGTTTGGTTAAATGATAGATTATAGAAACATCATTAATCTTTCAATGTAGCAAAAAAATGTATCTAGGTATATTAATTTAAGAGTTTTGTAGATTATAATATTTATGTAGATAATGATAAATGAATATTTTATTAATATTTTTAGAATGTACAATAGTCACGTAAGATGTTGAAATAAGTTTAACTTTTTATGCATGAATGTAGTAATTGTAAACACGTAGTTTTGTCCTATAATTTACTTTATTTTTTGTATTTTAGATTTTTATTTCTATAAATTGTCATTTCCTCTCTTGTAAGTATTTTCTTGAGAAAATTATCATATAGTCTTTATACAAAAATTATCCATTATTGGTAAACTTATTTTATTGTATATAATCTATTTTAGATTCTTTTAATATTGTTATTCCATTTTTAGGTTAGGTCATCTAAATCCAAAACTTTTCAACATTTTTTATATGGGTCATAAGAGCTTAAAATTAATTACTTTTTTCTTATATTTTATTATTTAGTTTCTTTTACATTTTGAGTTATCTAAGCCTATTCTAAAGTGATAAAAAAAATCACAAATAAAATAAATAGATAAATGCATTGGAGGATAGACGTGTGTACTAGCATGGAAAAGGCACTCCATATCTTTATGTTACCTCTATGCTAAAAAAAAAGTGATGAGAGAAAAAAAGAATTGTTACTATATTTCCAAAGTAATCATGGCAGTCGTGTGTTTCCTAAACTACATTTTTGAATAAATATTAAAAAATTTAAAGTGTACAATTATTTCATATTTGTTTAACTTAGCATTTATTTACTTTTATATTGGTCTTACATGGATATTTTGTTTGCTAAAGGGTAAACATGTCAAGTAAAATGTGTGCACAAAAAGGAGGGAATCACTTATATATATATGTGTGTATTGCTAAAAGTTAATTGCTCAACTTGATTACTTGACTAAACCCAACCCTATTGTAATCAGGTTAAGTTGGGTCACTTAAAAAAAGTTCACAAATCCGACATAACTCAACTTGATTAAGTTTAATTGGGTAGTATTCAAAAAGATTTTAAAAAAAAAATTTTGACCGATAATTATAAAAGTTTCCTATATCAAAAAGTTTATATAGCAAATGTTTTAATATTTGTCTGGTAATGGATTACTACTTCAAGTAATCGATTACCAGAGCAAGGAAACTTCTTGGTTCAAAATTCAAATGCTAAAACGTGTTCTGGTAATCAATTACTAGCTCTTGTAATCGATTACTAGAAGAGAAAATTTCAAAATTTGAATTTAAAGATACAACATTTCAAATTATTTTGAACTTAAAAATGTTGTAATCGATTACCAATTCCTTGTAATCGATTATCAGTGTATCTTTTCTGAAAAAAATATAGAGAGTTACAACTCTTCATAAAAAAACATAACCTAAGAGATAATTGTCTATAAATACCTATACTTTTTCAGAATAAGGTTACGAACTCTATTGTGAAAAAGTCATATACAAAAACTTCTTGGTCAAATTCATTTGCATTATTCTAAAGAGTTCATTAAGATCATCAAAGTATAAAATCTACTCTTCAAGAGAGTTACTCTATTATACCCACTAGATCATTTGATCTGCAAAGGAGAAAAAGTTTCTCCTTATTGGTTTTTGAATCTCAACACATGGAAAGGGTGTTCCAAGGTGTTGGAGGATTCAAGTATTGTAAGAATTACAAGAATAGTGGAAATCTCAAGTTGGAGACTTAAGGACTGGACGTATGCAAGATTGGTCGAACTAGTATAAAACGAGTTTGCAATTTCTCTTACCCTACACTTTTAATTACTTGCTATTAATTGTGATTGAGTAGTTTGCATCATCATTAACTTATACACAAAAATTTGTCTAAGTAATTGAATTTATAAGAAAGTATTTACAAAAACTCATAAACGAAGAAAAATTGGTAAACTTAATTCACCCCCCATCTTAAGTTAATTGAGGCTACTTGACTAACAAGGTTGGATAATAAAATAGTCTAAATTGACCTGACCGTTTACTTTACACGCCTACTTTTTAGCGAGTAAATTTTTATGAAATAAAAATTGTTTTCTAAAGTTGTTGTACTTTTATCTTGTAAGCCCAATATTAGGGGTGGGCAAAAAATTTGGACCTACCTGAACTCAACATACTCAAGGCAAAAATGATGCAACTGTTGAATTAGAAATGAATAATATATTTTTAAGTTAAAAAATGGTTTTGTCTAGGTTATTTTACTTGGGTTTGAATTTGAAATTTCCAAACCATTGATACCTAATCAATCATATTAACCCTGAAATCCTAATATAAAAGCTTATTTTACTTTGGGCCTTTCATTTTAACACATCTCTTTTCCTCCCTTCCTTTCTCAATTGTTTTAAGACCTAGCTAGAGTTCTATCTGTCCAATGCGAGCGAGGTCATGGTGGTGAGAGCTCATTTTCCTACTTAATCTTTGGTTGCTATTCTAGGTTTGAGTGTGATCTCCCTCTAATTATTACAAAAGTTTTATACTCTTTCCATTTTTTAAAGTTTTCTTATATATTGGCATTTGTGCAAGCATGATTTGGCCTTCAATTAATATCTTCCCCATAAATCTTTGTGATTGAAACTTGGAAGGATTCATCCATTTGAACTCATAAAGAGCAACAAACCCAAATCTTAAGGTTAATTTCAAGGTAAAAGTAGTAAACTTTAATGTGTATCATGTAATTCTTTTTCTTCATTTTTCTTTAGTTATTAACTATAATAATAAATTTTAATTTTCCTTTTATTTTATATCATGACGAAATGTGTGATCTTTGATGTTCAATGTCAATTAGGAGGGCTAGGTATAAATAAAACCAAACCTAGAGATCCAAGAATTCCATTTCTTTTGTTTATGTTTCTATTTTTTTGTGCAATTTTTATTAAATAAAATGAAATGCTTCTCTCATTCTTGACTATGTATGAGTATGAGTGTGTATGTTTTGTGTGCATCCATTTATCTCTCCCATATTTTTAGTTTGGATGAATTTTTTATTGCAGGGTTCTTTCTTGTGTTGGATTTGATTTGCTGTCTTTTGTTTTGAAGTAGTTTGAATATTATACATAGCATACATTTATGATTTATCTAATTGAGCACAGTATTATTTCATATAATAAATAGTTGTAAAACTGTATATTTTATGTGCTTTATTTCAATATTTTATGATATATGTTGTTTAATTATCGATATGTTGTGTTTATTATTATTTTAAAACTCTAAGGATCAAAAGATCTTTAAGAGTTAAGTTATTTCTGAGGTTGTTTTCAATAGGGTCAAGTTGACCAAGATTAGGAAAGGGTATTTAAGGTTTTTCTTAAGATGTGAACTTCATAAATTCATATCCTAAGAAAAATTGTATACGGAAGTTAGAAAAGATAAACTTTGGAACTAGAGAGAATCCTTTTATGATATGATCCTAGAATGACTAATCAAGGAAGAAACTCAAAATAATTTTTGGATTGCTTTTGAAGACCTTGGAAGGCTAGGAAAAGAGGCACAACCATTTATTTTGCATGAAGAAATATTGGAGCCATTTTGTAGAATAGTTTTTGGGTACTATGGTGCTTGTAATAATCTTGAGTGAAGTTTATGTTTTAGTCAACTCAATAGGATTAATTTTTGTTAGGAAAATAAGAAACAATTAGAGCCAAAAAAAATTGGTCACTAAATTTTAGCTAAGCGCTCTCTATTTTATCAGTGTGTAATCTCACTGTGTGACAAAATTGCCACTGAATGATAATTTCTCTGTGTGACTATTTTAGTTAAGTGAAAATCTTGTGGTTAAGCAAAAATGGTGCGATTGCAATTGTAGTTTGAATTTTCTTTGCACACCAAGCCTCTTTATTTTGGGTTTTAGTGAGCTAAAGTGTGTTTAATACACTTCTAAAGTGGGTTAACGATAACTAGGCTTTGCCCACTTATTTGTAAGAACTTTTGAAAGTCATTGAATGAGATAGTCATCTCTTGAAAGAATTATTCTCTTGGTTCTTATCAAAGAACTTGGTTTTTATCAAAGGGATAAACCTTTGTGGTGAATCTTCATTGACTTATCGATTTGCTCAAATTGTGACGTTCAATCATTTCTTCTCTATTCCATATTTTCCAATTTTGTTGCACATTACAGATTTTTCATTTGCATGGAATGATGAATCAAATGTCAGAAATGATCATTCTTTCTCTTTCCATGGATTGGATTGTACCAAGTGGTATCTAAAGCATGGTTCCAGATTTGAATCATCATTTATATTTGGTGAAAATTTATGTTCATCTTTAGTTTGGATAAAATTCTCAAGAATCTTAAATCTCATATCTACTTTGATTCTTTATGTATTTTGAAATTCTGTTTGTTGATTCTTGTTTAGTTTGTTGTGCTAAACAAAACCCTTAAGGTTTCGTTCATTTTCGAGTAGTTTCAAATTTTTGTGTTCTTTGTCAAAATTTCTGAAATTCTACATTTGATTGGTAGAGATTTTCTATTTGTGTTTTTATGTTAATTGAAGTTCCAATTAATTGTTTTAGTGTTGTACTGTGATATAATACTATTTTTTTGGAGATTGAATGGCATTTTTAAAAATCTGGTGAGTTTTGTCGAAAGATTTTTGCTCAGTCGTGCTACATCTCACTCAACAAAATGTGTGGTCCATTGGGAAAGCCATTTTAGCTTAGCCATATGAAATTTTTGCATGCCTAAAATTGGTCTTTCGAATTTTTTTCTATTGAGTTTAGGACAATTGTTAGCGTGAAAAAGAAGTACAAGGACCAAAAGTATAAAAAAAAAAGTATAAGTGAAAAAGAAAAGAAAAAGAAGTACAAAAGAAAAGAAAAGTGAAAGGTCCAATACAAAAGAAAAAGAACAGTGAAACAAGTCCAATTCTCTTAAGTGAAATTTACTACACCTTCTTGTTGATTGCATGATTGTGTGCATTTATCATTCTTGTGTCTTCTAGTTGTCACATTTATATTCTCTTTAAGTAGTAATTTTCTTTCAAGCTTTGTTGATTGTCTTTTGAAATTTCCT